GGGGAGCGGTGGTGGGGGAGAAGCTGCCATGTTGGGGGGGCAAAGAGGATTTGAGTGAGGGAGAAAATGGCGGCGGGGAACCGCCCGGCTCCGTTCCCCCCACGCCGGGATCTGACCCTGCCCGCTGAAGACCCCCGACCCATCTTTTTTGTGCCGCCTCTTCTCTCCTCCGCCGCCGGTGGCCTGCAGCCCGCTTGCTGCCACCCTGCCCCGGGAGGACCTGGTCGTCCTTGCCCGTGCCCCCCATTCGGGCCCTCGCTCCTTTCCCCTGGGGGGCAACACGAGCCGTGGAAAAGAGGAATAGGGGAGGAAAATGGCGGCTGGGATCCGCCTACCTGGTGCTCCTAGCTCGTACTCGCTTGTGTTTTTCATCTTCCTTTCCCTCGTCCTCGCTTGGCCCGTCTCATTCTACCCTCGCTCTCCCCGGTGCTTCGGTGTCTCCTCACGTTCTGCCTGCCAGCTTCTCCCGAGGGGCACCCACCCCCCTCATGGCTTTTTCCTCCAGTTTCCACCCCCACCTTCCTTCGTATTGTTACTCCCTCATCCTGATGCGGTCTCTGGGGTTATCCTCTGCAGGTGCCCCCGCGTATCAGACTTTTCTTGTTTGGCTTCCCAATTTCATGTCATCGTTGTACTTATTTTTGCCTTGTCCCGTTCCAGCTCTTCTCTGCCTCCATTCTGCAGCGTGGCTTATGTGTGCTTCCCATACCCTGTTTCATTTTCAGTGCTACAGCTTCCGTTGTTGTGCTCCAAACTATTACAACAGAATTTGCCCTACCTCGATCCATTAGCATTATTCAGACTCCATTTTTTCATTTGCACATGGTTTATTTCATTGCCAGTTTAAAACCACTGCTATTCCTTTTTCTTTTCTGAGATATGCTTCTTTAATCTTTTATTAGCCTTTCCTAGCTGTAGTTTATTTTATACAGCTTCTCCCTGTGATGCTTATTTTTATTCTGAAAGAACAAATGAGCTATTTATTTGTTACAAAGAGTTTCTAGTAGCAGGCAAGATGTTCAACTGCTATATCTAACCACATGTTTGCATGCTAGAGAGATGTAGCAGTACAGCTGGCAGCATGCATTCAAGGAAAGTTGAATGTCCGCTTGTCTGGCAAATGAATAGACTCTAGTGACTGATGTGGTAAAGCTGCAGTGGAAATATTAATTGCAATACTGTAGTTCACTGTAACTAAGATGTTTTTTCAGACTTTTGTATTATTGATGGGAACTTTAGCTTCATGTATGACGATTATGCAGCTGTCGCTTGCAAATTCAACTAGGCAAAATGCCCATGTAAGAAGATAAATAATGCTGGGGCCTTAATCGTTTATATTTATGAATGTAATATTGAGAATTCAACTGGAGGACTGTATTGTATTGTATTTTTTACATTATGGTTTATGCCATACCCGGGAGTATATGAAACTGGTGAAAAATTGTCCCTTCGTAAACGCAGTGTTTTAGATTCTGAACTGTTTAAGTTAATTGTAGCAAAAAGGGGAAAAGATACAAGAGGGAAGGGTGTTTCAGATCACATCTACAATGTGTATTAAAGCTTATATGAAAAGGCAGGAGAGTCTTCAGGATGGTGTTGAATAAGATGAGCCTTTACAAACAGATTTGAAGATGGCTTTCTACTCATAATGGGACATATTCATTGTATAGCGTTCTCATGTTATCTTTCTCTTCCTAGAATGCCTAAGTCAAAGGAACTTGTGTCTTCAAGCTCATCTGCCAGTGATTCAGATAGTGAAGTTGACAAAAAGGTGAACATTATATGCAGTTTATAACTACTGTATTAACTCTTATATTTCAGGCTGGGGTTAAGGAATTAGGTGAGCATTATGTCACAAAATGCATGTCATTCCATATGATTTATCAGACACTTAAAAAAAACCCCAACAACCCCAAAACACCCTTCCCAACTCCAAAACAACCCACCCCCCAAGATTAGGGTTTGGGTGGATGCTTTTTGCTTTTTTCACTTTGGTATCTGGATTACTTGCAAGTCCAAAACAAAAACCTCCACTTGCCCTGTCATCCATGTGCCACTTGCTTATCTTGTTTGCGTGTTCTTTTTCTCTGTTTCAGATTCTTACATTTACTGTAATACCATCTGCTAGTTTCTCACTTAAAAGCTGAGCCAACCTGAATGTCTTCAAGTTGATTAATTTTAACACATGTTGACCGTTTTAAATGTATAAATGGAGTGTTCCCTTTAATGTTAACTATGTTAAACGTATAAATTCAGTGTTCTCATTTATTTTTAATAGTTATTTAATTTATAAGTTTGTATAGATGTACCAGTCATTACAAACAAAAACTGAATACAACAGTGAATTTATCTTTTTAAGAAATGCTGGGTGGTAATGCAGACATCAGGTTTTTTAGTGCAGTATGCGAAGAGACTCGGTCTGCTTTACTGAATTGGTTCAAATGTGACTTGGTTGCACTTAACAAATTAGGTGTTTTGTCAAATCTTAATATAAGAGAAAATGGTCAGGTAATTTTTTCTTGTTGTTAGGGAAATGTATTCCTGAAAAGACATAGTCTAACAGTCTGCTTCAGTGGGCAGTAAGGTGTTTTTTTTTTTTTTCTATGACAACCTCCCATATTTGTTGGAACTGTTTGTCTTTAAAAGAGATTATCTACAATGCTTCTAGCGCAGGTGAGACTAATTTTTGGTATCTTTGTATTACTCTTTCCTTGGGGCACGCATGATTACTATATAACCATTAGTAGAAATAGTAACTTTGTAGCATCTGCTAACAAAGTAATCTGATTTACAGGCGATATCATCTGAATGTTTTAAAAACACAATTTATCATGCTATGGACAGAGATTGGAGTCTGATTTAAAAAAAAAACAACAAAACAAACAAAAAAAAACCACCCAAACCTCCTCTGTTGGATTTGATTTCCAGATCCTTTCTTCGTTATCTCATCTATTATTTTTTCTTTTTTAGAAGAGTAGTTAGCTGTCCTGCATTTTTCATTGCACTCAGTGGAAAGGAAGGTGAAACTTCCATCAGACTTCAAAATTTTAATTAAAACTACTGAACGGACAATATTACTCTGCAAAGAGAGTAGGCTTTTTGAAATGTATTTTGATCTAATTCAATTCTCTTTAAAGCCAAAGCATTATGGTAAACTTCACTGGGAACAGAATTAAGCTCATTTGAAGACTTATTATTATTTTTTTTTAAAATTCCAGTCTAAATGTACAATATTGGATTCTTGCCTTCACAGAAGGAAGGTGATAATGTGTATTGCATAGTAGTAGTTTGTGACCTCTAACATAAACTTTTTTGTAACTTATGAGTTGTGGTTTATGCACTTTTTTTTTTATTCTTGCTCCAAGGCAAAGCGGAAAAAGCAAGCAGCTCCAGAAAAGCCTATAAAGAAACAAAAGACTGGTGAAAGTTCAAAAGGTGCAGCTTCTTCTAAGCAAAGCAGTAACAGAGATGAGAATATGTTTCAGGTAAAATTGATGACTCTCTTAGAGCCTGGTTAAGGTAACCATTCACATCATATTCAGTATAAATTTTATGAGGTGATCTGAATAACTTGGTAGCATAGTGCTTGGTCTCCTGAAGCCTTGGTCAAAGGGGATGACGATGCTAGCATGCAGATGAGGGGCTCAAAAAGCATTGTCAGGTTTCGTCAGAGTAAAAGAATCTGGCAATTGATTCTAACCCTCATGTCTTTGCCCTTGGTAACTCTCTAGGTAGTCATTTTGTCTGTAAATACAGCACTTACCATGAGTATACTGTAAGTATTAGATCAGGACAGTTTCTACAAGGAAATATTTTTTCATCAGGGCTCTTGAAAGAAAGGTTCTTGGACACTAAAGTATGGACTCTTCATTCCGATTTAGCTAGGTCAAGAGCAACTTGGCTTCTGTCAAGTGTCTGTCCAAGACAGTGTCTTGGAATAAGTTTTGCTTGTTCCTTTATGATGCAGGTTATTCTCACTGAACATCCAAAAAGATAGTAATTTTTGACATTGTCCTTATTTTTAAGATGAGATGAATGTACACTTTTTTCAGTAGCAAGAAGCATTTGTGAATTCAGGGTATTGCAGTTCCTGGGGTTAGCTGAGGCAGTAGCAGTGTGTGCTGAAAGCTGTGCAAGAATATACGTAGCTCAGAATTGCCTGTTTTAGGGGTGTGGATCAAGACTTACTAAATGTCTGTGACTAGCTGGCTTGAAAGGTGCAGGGGATAGGAAAGGAATTTAAATTCTTAGAGACTTTGATTCTTAAGTTTGTGAAAGGGTATGGGAGAGGTGCCTAATAAGATGGTCCCAACACCGAGTAAGGCAAAAGAAATGGTTTTGGGCTGTAGCTGTGCGAAGTAATATGGCAAAAAAAAAAAAAAATCTCTAGAGAGAAGACCTGCTTAACTGATACTGTAATACAGGGCAGTTATTTTTAATGTATCGGTTCTCACTTTCCTCTTCATGTATAATTGGAGGGAGAGCTTCAATTTAAGACACTGGGCATCAATGCCTGGACTTCCCCATTGAAGGAAGAATATAATATTTTTAGTTCTGTTGGGGCATGCTTTGATCCGTGTAGGAAAAATGAGATAGTATCTTCTACACCTAATGAGGTGAACTGCAGTTAGAACTCGAAAAAGCTGCATATAAGCTTTATGCTGTGTTTGTAATAGGTTCAGAAATTCCAGCCTTAGGGAAAATGGTTAAAATTTTTAATGCTCTCCCAATGCAAAAACCAAAACAAACAAAACAACCAAACCCCCCAAAAAAACCCAACCTCTCAAAAGCAAAAGTATTTGTGTGCTCTGATTTCTTTCAACCTTTTTGACCTAAGATAGTAAAAAGTTACTAAAAATAGACAGTAGAGGACTCATATTAGTCTGAAAAGAGCAGGATTCTTCCAGTGTTGAGTAAAATATAGAAAAAATATTTCAGTATCACCTTGACCTAAACCATCAGTGTTCCTTAGTCTCTGCCTGCCTTTTAGTTACTTGACAACAAAAGTTTTTTTTTTAAATTGCTTATTGTGTTATGTGAAGCATTGTGGTTTTTTTTTTATGCTACATCAGCTTATGTGCGTTAACTAAGATGCAACTGTTTCAGTGTAGAAATAGCACTGTAGGTCTGAGGATACTTCCTCTCTCTCCCCCCTACCCAGGAGAGCATGCTAGAAGATCTAGTTGCATGTTAATTTTTAGGTACGATTTTGTTTGTTCGAGGACTACTAGTAATACTAAAAACTCTCCTTTCTGCTTCCCCATGGTAGTAAAATGATCTCTGTGCAAGTGACTGCAGTATAACTTACAAGTGTGGCTTCAATTGATGGAAATCAGACTGTAAAGCATTCATAGGATAGTCAGAAGTCCTGTGGCATCCATATTGTGCATGGGAGTGGCAGCAAATGATGTGAAACTTGGTGGTTTGCTGTTCTACACTTTTGGGTTGTGTTCTTAAAGTATACAGCTTCCCTTAATATTGAGCTCATTGTGACTGCTGTATTCTGAAGGTTCAACATTTTCATAAAGATCTTTGTTTTATTATTTTTGTTTGAAACTAATGTTGGTGTAATGGTGTTCTTGAACCTAATTATGAAGAATAGAATAATTGTAAGTAGAAGGGAATTAATTCAATATAGGAGACCAGGTATATTTTTATTTATTTGCATATCTTGGCCTTTTTAGGTTTTATAGGTAGTCTAGTATACTTTGGAATTTGTTAAAGGATTTGGGTGCAGTTGGGGTGCGGAAATTTATCTTGCTCCCATTTGTGATGCATTACTAGAGGCCCTAAGGACAAGCATTGTTCATGTTAATGTGGAAGGGTTTAGTGTTGATACATTAGATTCCTGTCTGTGGCTTTGAGTCAACGTGAGTTCTGCATCATGTGCTTTGGTTAGTTTGACAAATCCTGTCATCTACCTGTGCCTGATTTGGATAAGGTTTGTTAATGCTGTCAGGATACAGTATTAATGACTGTCCAGAGTGGAACCACATGACATGATCAGGCATTTCATAATTTATTTATTTAAATTTGGGTCAAATTTGCTTTTTGACTTGTGAGAAATAAGTTCTTCAGTTTCCCAGTGTAATGTATTTACCTATCATAGGCTCCTGAAAGTAGATAACTATATAAGTTCATGATGCTCTGGAAGGTGATTGATTGTGAAATGCATCGGTGACCACCTAAGTTTCAGAATTAATGTGCTAAACCAATTTGCTGTGTTGCAGATCTCAGCTGTTTACAGGACTCTCTATTCTAGGAGTTTATGTTAGCTTATTGTGCTGCTTCTAATGCTATACATATAGTTATCAGCTAAGAAAGAAGGATGCTTTTTTTTTTTTGCTGTTTCTACTTCCACAGCATGTATACAGTTTAATCAAGGCAAACTGGAAATAGGAGGAAAAATGGTGAAGAAGGTGGTTGCTGAAACTCATACAGGAAGTCAGTTGCATAGCTGTGAAAGAAACTTAGACACAGTTCAGTGCATTTTATTCTAAGAAACAGAAACCTGGAAATAGTGTTTTTAATGTCTTCTATTGAATTAAATCAATCAGTATATCTAAGGAGCTGTGATATTTAATAAAAAGCATATGAACTTGTCTATGAAGGTTGAACTGCAGTAACTACCCTGCTATAAATCAATACAGCCCTTGGAACACTAATGTGGTTACAGAGATACAAAGGTGTCTTAGATCAGTGAAATTATTTTAGGACTATCAGCTGCTGCATGAACAAAGAATTGTTCAGAAATGAGTCAATGCCAGAATTGCAGGTAACAACTTCAAGAAACATCAGTTTGCTTAAATAAATAAATCTAGATTTTGGTTGAGGTTTTTAAACTGTACTTTAGAAGCCTATTTAAAGCTTTTAGCAGTGGCAACTGTTTTGCATAGAGTTCAACTAAACATTTGAAATTTAACGTGAGCATTCAGCTGAAATCTAGACAGTGGCGTAAAACAACTTAATTTCAGCATTTTCATATGAAACTGTTTACGTTTAAGGTAGACTTGCTGACTAAATGATGTGTACTTTTTATTATTGCCCCTTGCCTTACTGTAGTTGAATTAAGACATGTAGTCTTATCTTTAATAGTCAAATCCTAAAACCTTTTACTGTATTTGCAGCTATAATCTGCTATATTGTATCAGATTTTATTTCTTGGAGCAAATCTGGAATTACTTGGCAATGCACTAATATTCTTTGATAGACCTGGGAAAAAAAGATAATATGGAGTATTACTACTACTTGAAGCTGGTTTTAGAGGTGACCTTAAAAGTCACTGAAGCATTATAGGGTAAAACCAAGAAATGTCGTTCGTGTAGGCTATTTAGGATATCCTTTGCCAGCAGTGCTGACAGACTTGGGCATGGTACCAAGTTCAGTCTGAAAGAACTCTGCTACCATGACATCATACCTTATTTTTGAATGTTAAATTTGTAGTACTGTGAAAGTATTTAATAAATCAATCACAAAATACTATCTTAAACTTGTTCATTTTAAAGGATGCTTTGAAGTAGGAAAACAACTGCTTCAGGCTTATGGTATTTAAAGATGTCCCAATTGTTTTAAAATAAATTTTAGAGTTAACTTAGCATGATCTGCATAAGAAGAAAAATTACTTTAAGCAAACATAAAGCATACTTGTTTGTTTATATTTTGTGAAATATCAGCTTTTATGACTTAAACATCTGTGGATGATTTTAGTTGGTCAGAGTTGTTCATGCTTTCTGGTCAGACTTAATGCTAGCAAGATGTGTTTGGCCCCCTGTTAAATTATGTCAAAGTGCAAGATGCATAAATTAAGGAAGTTGAAAACTAAAACTAATGTTTTATCAGGAAGGAATATTCTATTTTTAAAATTGCTTGCTTTAGAATGTGTTCTTTCTTCATAAAGTGTATCCAGAAGGTGCATACAGAATACTAAGAATTTCTTACATGAATTGTATTTGATTGTGTTTTTATTATCCAATTTCTGATTCTCAAATTCACATTATACGGTGAATGAATAGTTTTTTATCAAATTTGGAAAAATTTGATAAAGCCTAAATATGTAGTGTAATGCGTAGTTGTCAGCGTGCTTGTTGTCTCTCTTCCCTTCTTCTTCCTCCTCCCCCCCCCCCCCTTTTTTTTTTTCTTCTTCTTAA